TGTGTGTGTGTGTGTGTGCGTGTGTGTGCAGACTTGGATGAAATGGGTGTATTGGTGGGACGTCTTGTCCTATTCTCTGCTGGCCTATGTCCTAAAAAACCTGCAGTTTCCTGAGAAGTGAGGCATCCAGTCATTACCTCAATGCAGCCTGGCTGGGCGTGCACTGGCAGAAGCACACAGCAGAGGGCACGGGCCTCCCCTCCCTCACTGACTGTCTTTCAGAAATGCCCTTGTCTTGCAGCTGGCTAAGGAGTATGGCATGGACTTCTACGAAACAAGCGCCTGCACCAACCTTAACATTAAAGAGGTGAGAACACCGGGACTTCTCCTCTGTGTCTGGTGGGATGGTGAGAAGAAGCGGCAGACAGGAGCCAAGATACAGTAGGCGACCCCTCCCACGGGGCACTTGCAGGGTCACTGGAAGCAGAGATGGATATGCTGACCTAACTTGTGTTCCTTGGCTTCCCAGTCCTTCACTCGTCTGACGGAGCTGGTGCTGCAGGCCCACAGGAAAGAGCTGGATGGTCTCAGAACATGTGCCAGCAATGAGCTCGCATTGGCAGAACTGGAGGAAGACGACAGCAAACCTGAGGGCCCAGCAAACTCTTCAAAGACCTGCTGGTGCTGAGGGTCCTGTGTGGAATCTCGCCCCGCCCCCCAATTCCCCTTCCCTCAGGAGGCCCGTGGAGGCAGGGAGTCTGGGCTTTGAGCACCACTGTCCTTTCATTTGACAATCCTGTTGAAAACCAGTAGCTGCTACTTCCCTGCCTGGCCCTGTGAGCAGCTCTGCTGTGGTCTCTGAGCAGCCTCTGCCCCTAGCCCCTCTATCCTGGAGAGGTAACCTTTCAGCCTGTCTCCCAGCCGCAGGCCAGCTGTGACCCCAGAATGTGCTGCTGACCGTCTCACCAGCCCAGGCTCATGGGACAACGGTCAGGGCTGGAGTCAAGACCACTTAGAGACCCCTTTAGTGCATCTAGTGGACTCTTTGCTTTTTCTCTTTTTTCTTCTCTTTCTCCACTCCCTTCCTTCCCTTGTATTTTGCATCCCTGTCTTCTAGTCTCTCCTCCCTTGCCTGTGTGTCCTGCTGAGTGCTGCTAATGCAGTTCCTTTCTTCTTTCCTTCCTGATTCTGCCTAAGGGAATGGACCCAGGCTCTGCCCCAGGGAGGATGGCTCACCCTGCTGTAGGGTGGGCTGAAGGCTAAGGGTGCTTCTTCCTCCTCCCCTCCCCACTGCCCCTCCTTGTGCCATGGGCTGCCTCCCCAATGGTCTGTGAAGGTAGAACACTGAGGTAGGAAGGAAACACTAGGTGGTCCTCAAGCATGAACTGGCCTCTTCTGCCTTTGCCTTCTGCTGGAGTTTTGGCCTTGTCTGGCTCCCTATGTGCCTCTGTGAGGAACTGAGTCCAGAGGTGGGCACAGCAGAGAAGAAAAAGCAAAAAAGATGGGGTGGCAGGGATTAAGTCACCTCTGTTCTCTACCTCCCATGCAGTGAGTACACAGTCTCTTCACCTGGATGCATGAATTTAAAGATGGGGATCCAGGCCTGAGGACACCAAAGGGCAAGGGGAGCCCCCGGGGTCAGATACTGTACAGTCAGCTGTGAATCGAGAAAGAGGCAAGAGCAGGTGTGAAGGGTTGGCTCCTAGAACCAGGGTTAGAGCAAGAGCTTTGGGCGCTTCATAGAACAGTGAGTGCTATGGCGACTGCAGTGCGTCCTGTGTGAGAACATTTACCCAGACTCCCCGGCAGAGGTGACAAGTGATGTCATCAGTCACTCAACTTTCACTGAACCCAGCCTTTGGAAGTTGAAGTTTTCCCCCAGAGTCTGGACAACAGGCCTTAAAACATGGGAAGAGAAGGCCACGTATGGATGGAAATAACTTGGTGCTGTTCTGCCTTCCAGGACTCCCTCCCCTTGTTCCCTTATTCTAAGTCTGCTTGTAGCTTTGCCAATTGCTGTGTGGCTACCAAGGGAGGGACAGAGACACCCTCCTCCAGAGTTCTATGCTCAGGAAGTTTCTTTAACCCTGTGGTCCAAGAGTAGCTTGAAGGAGGCCCCTAAAAAAAACAAAAACAAAACAAAAACCCAACCCTGGTAGGGTTCATCCTTACATTCCCAAGGTGGGAGGAGCTCAGGTAAGAGAATAGTCCCAGGATGCACTTCAAGGCTGGGGCTGGAGCCGAAGCAGAGGAAGCATTGGGCACTGCCTGAGCGTTCACTGACCAAGGTCCTTTCAAATCCAGGGCACGCTGTGATGACAGAAAGCCCCACACCTCTTTAGTCCTCTAAAAAGGGAGATGGGGGTGAAATCACAAGGAATGTCTCCCTGACTTAGCAAACCAGGAAGCTGGTGGCAGGAGAGAACAGCTCAGGATTTCTGGTGGAGGGAAAAGGAAAATGAGGAGAGCAGTCCATTGTTCACTAAAGAGAAACAGAGTGTTGGCTCGAAGACTGGACCATGACTGGCTGAGGTGGCTTCCTTGGGGACCTTCTCCTCGGTAGTACCAAGTCCTAGGTAGACTGACAAAACAGTGAGCCTGCCTGCCTCCAGGGAGGGACCTGAGGAGAGCTTCTACAGGGCACAGGCCCTAACCTGTCACAAGTGTCACTGTCTTCTTGTCCTAGCCCCTCAAAAAAGGACTTGATCTTTACTACCTTGAGGATTCTGGGAGGGAATCTGGGGCTATGATTTTGTGGAGTCTGTACCATGGTCACAGCTCTGAAGACGGCAACAGAAGAAAGCTAGGATATGAGGAGCACCTGTGCTCGCTCTCTTCCGGAGTGTGCCTCACCCTAACTGCCAGTCTGGGAGGTGGCTTGGGTTGTGTCATTGGCCTTGACTGTTCAGCAGGCTTTCCTGGCCTGTCTGCCCCGTTACCTGAGATCACCTCACCCTGGTACACCACCTGCGTCCCACTATCTCCCTGTGATGGGTGACCTTTGTGTACTGTGTCTTGGGTCCATTATATGAATTGTGAGCAGGGTTCATCTATTTTAAAACAAATGTTTACAAAATAAAGAATATTTCAAACCATAGGTGTGCGGGCCTGAGTCTCTGTGAGGGAGAAGGCGTTATCGGAACCTTGATGGTGACATGGGAGAGAGTGAAACTGATAGAAGAGGACCCAGAATGCTAAAGCCACAGTGGAATGACAGTGGACCTGGTGAGCTTTGTCTGTCTTCCCTAGTGACATCTGCAGAAGAGCCCCAAGCAAACCGCCCACTGCCCACCTGTGAGCTCCCAGGAGCAGGGGTAGGACTAGGAGGAAGCTGGGTATCATAGGGATCTTTAAAGCCAAAATGGTGGCCATCTGTTGTGGCTAGATCAGGAAGTCCTCCCTGGAGGCATTAGGAGGGAATGGGTGATGTTTCAGATTTGCTGGAATAGAGCAAGCACAGATGTTCTCTGTATTCCAGATATCCCATCCCATGAGATACCCCATGAGAGCCTAGGTTGGATTGGAACTAAGGAAGGTGAGGTGTTGGCAGTATGGAGGTGCTGGAGACAGCCGAGGTGGGTAGGAGGATGAGGGAAGGCATGAAGCAGCGGGACAGTGGCAGTCCTAAATCACCACTGCACTTTAGTGAGCACTTGCAGGACTCTGAACACTTGCTATATGGGAGGGAGTGGTTATCTTTATGAGTCCAACAGATAAGGAAACAAGAGTCTCAGAGAGGTTTAAGGACGTGACCAAGGGTTCCAAGGAAATAGAGGAGTTATAAATGAAAATCAGTGCCTTGGACTTCCTAGAATCTAGTGTAGATAGTAAAGCTTTGGAATATCTATCTAGAAAAATCTCTCTAAGCAATTCTCTTTTACAGTCAGAACTGAGAGCCGCCCACCTAAGCTCTTCTGCCTACTAAGGACAATCATTCTGTTCCAGAAACCATAGGGAACGCGCTTTTGCATACCCAAAGTTTCAAGCTTCTGGAAAGTGGGGATAGTGTGTAGACCTGGAGACAGCCATTTTAGGAATGCCTTAACAGTTTTACTCAGCAGTCAGAAGTGAGCCTCCAGGAGACCTGTGAGGGACCAAGGTTTTCTTGAAGAAGTATGAAGCCACGCAAGACTTACGGCTTGCCTGAAAAGGGCTTGCAAAGGGGCAGCAAAGAAAAGGCATTTCTCTTTGGAAGTCCTGGGTGCTTGAGGAAGCTCTAGAGAGCAGAGAAACCTGGCAAATTACTATCAAGTTCTTATTTACATCTTTGCCAAGTCCCTCTGACTCTGTAGCTTGGTAGAAACATTCACTGGCTGCGTCCAAAGACTCTGTCCTGCCCCAGGAGACTTAACTTTTTGCCACCATTTATGGCATCAAAAGACTCCATTCCCACTTGGATAATGGAAACTTGTTTTCAGGGAGCTGTCAGCAGAGACAATGAGCCCCACACTCTTAAACAAGCTATGCGGAATTAAGAGATGGGCACTCTCTGCCAAGTCGTTTCTTTGTCTCCCAATAAATCAAATCCGGAAGGCTAGTTGCCACACCTGGAGACTCTGTTTTAGGAGACAGCTCCCACTAGCTATGTACCTGTGAAAATGCTCTCTGGGAAACATTTGCCTTATGAAAACAGCCAGGATAAACCTAATGATTAGTTTTACTGATGGAGAAATCAAGTGTTTCTGAAAAGTTCCTTGTTTAGTTAGCTAATGATTGGATAATGGTGTGCCATCATGGTCTTTTCAGCTGTTGAACTTAGAGTGGGCCCCAATGACAGCCCTCAGCAAACCAAAGATACCCCATCATCCATGGCTGGCTTGGAAGATGTCTGAGTGGCCTACCTGGAGCCACAGCTCCCTGCCTTCCTGTTCATTTCCTCCTGTGAGGAGATGGTCACACTCACACAAACCTCCTCCAGAAAGTCTCAGAGATTGAACCTTCGTCTGAGAGGGAGCTAGGTATAGTTGTCTACACAGAATTTACCATCCATTCTGAGACTTCTGATCAGCAAGGACTTCATCCTTATGCCTGGCTTGGAAATGTGGAACGGAGGTGGAGGTTCTGAGGTAGGACATGCTACAGTACAGGGACAAAGACCTCAGTGTTCTCCAGGACAAGGAACAAGACTCACCAAAAGGCTTTCTAAGACAAACAGCTTTGCCCGTCTGCCTGGCGCAAACTGAGGCATTGGAAGTCATTGCTTCATCTCCTCCTAAGGGTCCCTTTGATTCTGCTTGAAAATCCACCTGACTCAATTCAGACCCAAGCACATCTGACCTCCCACAACTCAGAGACTGATGCTCAAATAAATGTGCTGAAACAAACGTCTGTGCCAGGCAGAATCAACTCGCTGGGGCAAGCAGAAGTCAATCGTGCAAGCTCCCTCCCTTCTTTTCCTCCCCACTTGACCTTTAAGGCTCTGGTTTCCAGCAAGGAGTGAATAATTCACATCTGCTCATAGATATCAAATTGGCCCTTTCCAGGCCGCCAGTTGGGTGGGGCAAAAGGTGGCTTTGTTCAGCGACTGTAAATAGAAGGAGCCACAGCCTTGTTCAAACAGTTCGCAGGTGGGCACCTGGTTTTGCTAAGTCATCCTGGGGATGCTCAAAGGCCCTTTGTGAAATCCTTTTCTGTCCTGCCTGGCTCCTCCTTTCTTCCCATCCATCGAACGGACTTAAGGAGGCTCACGCAGCTGGGCAGGGCTCACTGCACTTCAGCATGGCTTACATTGCCAAGTCTTTCTACGATCTCAGTGCCATCAGCCTGGATGGGGAGAAGATAGACTTCAACACGTTCCGAGGCAGGGCTGTGTTGATTGAGAATGTGGCGTCACTCTGAGGAACAACTACCCGGGACTACACCCAGCTCAATGAGCTGCAATGTCGCTTTCCCAGGCGCTTGGTGGTTCTGGGCTTCCCTTGCAACCAGTTTGGACATCAGGTGAGGAGTCCCTTGGGTTCTACCAAAATAGTTGATTGGCAGAGGTAGAGAGGAATAAAGAAAGGGTTGAGTGTGTCTTGGGATATCTGGACTTGAAGGGAATGCTTCATCAGTCTAGGTCTAGGTGAATGTAAAACATCCCAGGGAAGTAGATATGGTCGGAGATTAAATTAAGTAGATATGATTGGAGATTAAAGGGTGTGACTTTTATTACTGTCTTTCCAGAATAGTCCATGAGGGTTGCTTCCAGGTCCCTCCATTGTGCCTTTGAGTACTTCATTAATTATTTGCTGAACGAATGAGTGGAGAAAATGGAAGGTTAAGAACCACTAAGTTGCCAGGTGGTGGTGGCGCACGCCTTTAATCCCAGCACTTGGGAGGCAGAGGCAGGTGGATTTCTGAGTTCAAGAGTTCGAGGCTAGCCTGGTCTACAGAGTGAGTTCCAGGACAGCCAGGGCTACACAGAGAAACCCTATCTCAAAAAACCAAAAAAAACCAAAAACAAACAAACAAACAAACAAAGAACCACTAAGTTGGCATGGTGGAACATTCCTGTAATCCTGTGATGACAGTGTGAAGTGGAGGCTGGGGATTGATGTGAGTTTGATGGCAACCTGGACTTACCAGCAAGGTCTCCAAAATCAGCCCTTGAATATAGCTCAGTCAGTAGATGACTTGCCCGGCCTACTTGAAACCGCGGGTTTGATCCCAAGCAAACCCGCATAAGCCAGCTGTGATAGCTTGCTTACAGTCCCAGCACTGGGGAGATGGAGACAGGAAGGTCAGAAATTCAAGGTGATCCCCTGAAGACAGCAAGTTTGAAGCCAGCCTGGCCTGAAGAATTTGTCTCAGACAAACAATTGTGATTAAGCTGTCAGATTCTTAGGAGTTCTTAGTCCTGTTGCCTTGGTTCTATGCTTTAACGGCTCTGAGACCGTTGAAAGAGGTGCTTAGTTTTCTGTTTGAGTTTCCGCATGTGTTGGTTTAATATAAGTTGACTTAGCTCATAAGTTTATTGTGAGGCTCATAGAGTAAGGTACACGGGAAGTAAGGAGAAAGATGTGGAAGTAGTGTGCGAATATAAACAATTTTATTATTTAAAGGCCTGTTTCTAATCAGCAGATTGGAAAAGGAATATGGGAGAAGGGAAAGGTCTGCAGCACAAATACTCCTCCTCTGGATATCATGTGTACCTTCTGAATAACGGGTCAAATAATACAGAGCTTCAGCATGTATGCCTCAAGCTATCTTTTAGGGATTTTGTTTCTACTTATGATTTAACTGTACAAACAAGCCAGGTGTCCCTAAGTGGACTCTCTAATTAGAGTGCCCACAGTTCAAATCACAGTGACAGGAAGGGACACAGGAAAGATGGCTGAGACATACACAGGAAGGGTGGCTGAGACATACACAGGAAGGGTGGCTATGATAAACCAGAGACCCAGACATTACTACGCTCACAGATTCTTCCCCCTCAAGCCTCTTTTCAGACTTCCCAGGAGAGACAGGAAGGGCTAAACCTCATTGGAGGCATTTCTCAACCCAGGAGTTACCTATGGCCTTACACCTCACTTGTGGCTGGCTAGCTGCTGGGAGGAGTCATAACTCAACATCCACAGAGCAAGAAGGGAGCACAATCAGGGCAGAGGAAAGGAAAAGTGATAGTGTGTGTGTGTGTGTGTGTGTGTGTGTGGTGTGTGTACATACAAGCAGAAGGGCCTCCTTCCCTTCTCTTCCCTGATCTCAAGGATCCTTAAAGCACCAAACACCATTGGGTTAATTGCCCAGAGTGGATTAGGGTCTGAAGCAACTGTTAAAACCTGTTGAATCTTTAATTACATGTACTTTAATGTGTGTGAGGGTGTGCACACGCCACAGTGCACAGGTAGGGGTTAGAGCACAATTTGTGAGAGTGGACTCTCCTTAAATCACTTGGTACTCCCAGGCCTCCAAAAGTTTTGGATGTAGCCTACCATTCCACCAAAGGCCATGGCTGGTGAGACGGTTCAACTGGCAAAGGCACTTGCACTAGCCTGATGACCTGAATTCAGTCCTCAGAACCCATGTGGTGGAAGGAAAGAAGCGATTTCCACAGGTTGTTCTCTGACCTCTATATGTGCAATGGTGGCACTCAGTATAAAATAAATGTAAAAAATAAAAAAATCCACAATGGCTGAGAGACAGATGAAGGCAGAGCAAATGAAGAAGAAACACACATATGTGCAACACACACATGCACACACAAAGGGAAGTGTGATCGTGGGAGGGAGTGTTGGGGAAGGAAAGGTTTGCACTGCTGCGTCCTTGGTTTCTTCTTCCTTTCTTCATGCTCTCTGTCTTCTCATCCAGGAGAACTGTCAGAATGAGGAGATCCTGAACAGCCTCAAGTACGTCCGCCCTGGGGGTGGGTTCCAGCCCACCTTCAGTCTTACCCAGAAGTGTGATGTCAATGGGCAGAACGAGCATCCTGTCTTTGCCTACCTGAAAGACAAGCTGCCCTACCCTTACGACGACCCATTCTCCCTCATGACAGACCCGAAGCTCATCATATGGAGTCCAGTGCGCCGCTCAGATGTGTCCTGGAACTTTGAGAAATTCCTCATAGGGCCAGAAGGGGAGCCCTTCCGCCGCTACAGCCGGACCTTCCAAACCATCAACATTGAGCCTGACATCAAACGGCTCCTCAAAGTTGCCATCTAGATGAGGGCGGCTCAGCCTAGGAATCTCCCATGGTTCCCCAAGTAGTCTTCCTCAGGGCTCAGTCTACTCTCAGAAGACACTGGGAGACCCAGGCATTCCCTTAATGTCACCCCCTTGCCTTCCCTGCCTGCCATTTCCTTTAGCTCTATCAAGGCTCTTGAGGAGTTCACTTGGAGCTCTAAGTCTGGAGTAGGTTCTGGGCCTTCACAGAATGATGGCACCTTCCTAAACCCTTCTGGGAGGTGTCTGAGAAGTTGTGAAGGGCCCAGAGCCAGCCTGCTTTAAAGTCCAATAAAGGGTAGGTGTGGCAATGGCCTGGGTCTTTGTGTCTTGCTTTCTAAAATTTTCAAGTATTTCATTCTGTGTATGTGTGCACATGGGTGGAGGTCGGAGGAAAACTTTGGGGAGCTGCTTCCCTCTTTCTACCTTGGTTCCAGGAATGGAACTCAGCTCACTGGGCTCGTTTCAGGGAGCTATCCTGCTGGCCCTTCTTTCTGGACAGAGGTGGAGGAGTGGTCAGAACTGTGGTGGGACAGAGATGCTGGAAACACTGAAGTTGTGGCTCTGGTCAAGGGGATACTCCAGTTACTATACGGATGAGGTTGTGGGCAAGGTCTGCAGTGACAGTCGGAGTCATAGTAAATGTGAATTATTTCGTGGCTCTTTTAGAACCAAGCAAAAAGAGGTGGTGATAAAGTGAAATAAAGAGAAGGAAAAGACAGCAGGGCCCTTTGGCTGAGGTATTAGGAGGCTGTTAGACTACAGTCTACAGTCAGGAAGACATCACATCATTGTGGGTCCTGGACTAATTAAACGTTAACTGACAACTTTTACTGACTGCAAGGGTGTAAAAAGTGCACAGTTACCAGGAACACAAAAACGCTTTATCCTTTCCTTGATTACTTTGAATTTCTAAGATTATAGTGTGTGCACACACGTGCATGTTCACATACATGTATGCATATGGGAATATACTGTGCCATGTAGGGGTCAGAGAGCAACTTGCAAAGCTTCCCTCTGCCATGTGTCTTCTAGGGACTGAAATCAGGTCCTCAGGCTTATAAATGGACACCCATGTTCTTTGTTCTTTTCAGCTCACACAGTCACAAATCCAGGCACACGGCAAATGGTGGCATGAAGGAATGAGTGAGTTAATGTCTTCTCTCAAGGTAGGGACAGAAGAGGACAGAAACATTTACTTCCTCCATGAGGGAACAGACGAGACCTCTTAGAGAATGAGTTTATAATCTTCCCACCGTTGGTACTTACTGTAAGAACAGGTGTGACAAATGGCTTTGTCATGATGCCCCCAATTCCTCATCCAGTGCAAACACACTGAAAAAGTACCAATACCACCAGAGCCAGGGTCTGTCATGCTCTGGAGGATTCCTTTCTGCTAACATTTTTCCTTTTGGGCAGTAGACGAACATCTCCATCCTGAAGCGCTCAAGGGACGGTTCTCCAAACCAGAGACCCTGCTGAAGAATGGCAGTCCTGAGATGATGCTTCCCTTTAATCTGCTCCTCATAAGCTGTCCCCAAGCACTCACATCATTTGAGAAGTGAGTGTGGGACTGAGGTTAGTGATGCCTACCTACTGTCTGACCTTCAGCCCCAGCTGTCACATCACTGACGGTGCTCCATTTCAAAGGGGTAACCTGAGTGTTACAGTGGGGAGCCCAGGCATCCTTTTCAGGCACTTTTTATTAAGGCTGCCCTCAGCTTGACTCTTGAAAATTCAGCCCGTTTGGATTGCCTATCTTAAAGCCAGCAGCTGGTGAATAGATTCTTTTGCAGAAGGACCATGGACCAATTTTAGAGTAGTAACGATAGAGACAAATTCATCTCTGATGAATGAGATAGGGGATTTGTGGCAGGTGTTACGTTTTGTTTTGTCATCTTGATGGTGCCAGTCATTGTATCTGATAATTGAGACAGTTATCCTGGATGTCCAGCTAGCCTAGATCTTGGCATTATGCCACTGGCGACTTAGGGTGCAATATGCCAGCGCAGTGTATAGGATATTCCTACGTGGCTCAAAGGAGAAGTAGAATTTCAGTATGATCTTAGGCAGAGTCAAAAAGGGCAAACAATGGTACAAAGTGGGTTCCTCACTTAGACAGGGGTAATGCTGTTTGCTTCAGACAGGACCTGCTCAGTTTTTCTAGGTGGCAGAGAGGTGGGATGACCTTTTATGATGCTATTGTTTAATGAGGAGTAAGGTTGCTTTGCTTCAGGGGCTGGTGAGATGGCTCAGTGGTTAAGAGCACTGACTGCTCTTCCAGAGGTCATGAGTTCAAATCCCAGCAACCACAGGGTGGCTCACAACCATCTGCAATGGGATTTGATGCCCTCTTGTGGGGTGTCTGAAGACAGCTACAGTGTACTTATAATAAATAAATAAATAAATAAATAAATAAATAAATAAATAAAGTTTAAAAAAAGGATTGCTTTCCTTCATTTTCCATCTCACTTCCCCACACTGTGTCCTTAGGAACAGATTTAGTAGAATCCCCCACTCTCCTGAATAAACAAGATCTTTTAATCAAACTTCCCAGGGACACTGAGGAGCAGGATGAGGTCTCGTTAGGAAGCTCTGGCAGACTGCTGAGATGCTGCTGTGGAACTTAGGAGTGTCCGCATTGCACTGAGGGCCCTGCACAGACAAGCGGGAGGGATTTTAGACGACCGAGATATGCAGACTAAAGTGGGTGGGGATAACTTATAATCTTTATTATGTGCCATAGCTACATCTCACCTTAAGAAATACTGAGCCCAATTCTAGAACTTTCTTATAAACACCATTAACCACTATAATCCAAGATACCAGTTACTGAAATAGACTATATTCACGCACTGCATTGAGTAAGTAATTTATACGCATTATTTATTTTTTATTTTATTTATATGCAGTATTTTATTTACACTGACTCCAAGAGGAATTCTCTCTAAAGAGAGGGAAGCTGGGTGTACTAGCTGGACCACAGTTTGTAAGCCATTCTAATAAATTCTGCCCCCTCATGGATCTAGACTATAAGTTCTGCTCATCTAGAGAACTGCAAAGAGCTTTTGACGCATAGTTACAATGTCAATTACATGGCAGCAGCCTGGAGGGCTGGGCCGGGGATCTTTAGAAAGCAGTATATGCTTTGAATCGGTGTCCAACATACGGTACACTTTCTCCCATAACCAGGATCCAGAGGTCCAGGCATCAAGGGGTGGAAAAGTGCCAACCACTATCACTTCCAGTGACCTAGTAGAAACATTTTTGCTTCCTGTTCCAGTGACCTTAAGTTCTATTTGAATAGAAATTTTGGTTCGAGAGGTGGGAGGGCTCCTGCCAGGAGTCACAACAAATATTCCATTGAACTGGAAGTTCAGACTTCCCTGTGGTCACTTGGGGCTATTGATGCCCTTGAGCCAACAGGCTAAAACAAGAATAACAGTGTTAGGAGGGGTGACTGATCCAGCTACTGAGAAGGAAATTGGATTGCTTCTCCACAGTGAAGTAAGAAAGATTGTTGGGAGTACAGAAGATCCTTTAGGGCAGTTATTCTCAACCTGTGGGTTGCAACCCCTTTGGAGGGCACTGAACAACACTTTCACAGGGATTGAATATCAGATATTCTGCCTGCCAAATATTTACATTACAATTCATAACAGTAGCAAAATTACAGTTATAAAGTAGCAATGAAGTAATTTCATGATTGGGGTCACCACAACATGAGGAACTGTATTAAAGAGTCACAGCATTAGGAGGTTTGAGAACCACTGCTTTAGGGTATCTCTGAGTGCTACCATGTCCTGTGACTAAAGTCACTAGGAAAATATAAAAACCTAATCCAGGCAGGAGACAAAGGGTCCACACCCTTTAGGAATGAAGGTATGGATCAGTCCTCCAGGGAAAGAGCCAAGACCTGCTGAGGTGGAGAAAATACAGAATGGGTAACAGAGGAAGGCAGTTATAAAAACCAGCCAAGGCTACTTGACCATCTGCAGAAACGAGGATTATAATTGACATGAGTGTTTTTGCCATATTTTGCTAAGTCTTCTTTTTTACAAATATTTGTGTTTTCTTTACTCAATTTCTTTATCATGTAATGTAACAGTTAAGAGAATATCGGTGACTATATTTGAGATACTAAAAGAATGTCCCTCAAGGGACATTGCCCCCTATTCTAAATTTACAATTCATTTTCAGCTTTATGGGGAATAGTTCTATCATGTTAGGTATAATATGGTTAAATATAGAATGTGTTTGAAATTGTATTTGGGATAGTTACATCATGTTTAGGCATTATTATGACCTGGCTATTGTTTTTGTTTGGTGATTAAGAATAAGGAGATATGATTGTGTGTCAAATTGGTAAGGGTGGACTTGTGATGGCTATTCTTAGTTGTCAACTTGACGACATCTGGAATGAACTAAAACCCAAATGGCTGGGCACACCTGTGAGGGATTTTTTTTTTCCTTAATTAAACCATTGAAGTACAAAGACCCACTTCTATCCCAGATCTTTGAGATGGGAAGATACATATTTAATATGGGCTATACCTTCTGCTGGTGGTCTATATAAAGAACATGGAAGAAGGAAGCTTGTTCTTTGCTTGCCCTCCCTAGCAAGTCCATTTCTTCACTGGCATTAGAGCCTACTTCTTGGGGATTGTGGCATATACTGATGACCAGCTGAGATATCCAGCCTTGTGGACTGAACAATTACTGGGATTTTTGACCGTCCATTGAATAAGCCACTAAATAAATTGTGTTTTCTCTCTCTCTCTCTCTCTCTCTCTCTCTCTCTCTCTCTCTCTCTCT